CAACCAAAAAATCCTACTATGTGAGCTGTGGCAACAGTCTGCTGGTGCAGTTTGAATCTGTTGTGAATGGCACTGATAGCATTGGTTTCAATCCCCTGGCTTCCTCTACTTTCACTCTCTCATGCCCAGCTCCCAGGCCTCAGGCCCATAGGCCTGACAAAGGGAAGTGGGGCCCTGTTGTTGCCACTAGGATAAGCAACAGGATCAAGAGAGATGGGAAAAATTCTATAGCTACGGCTCAAGAGATTAAAAAAGTGCAAAACCTGGAAGTATCCAAAGGTAGCACTGCAGCTCTTTCTCTTAATTCCTTTGCTTGCTTAGATATTGATCTGCTTTTACATAATGCTAATTTGGCTGGCTTGAGACTTGGGAATTATCCTAGTAGTTGTAACAATAATATTGATTATATTAAACATATTGAACTTGAGAGGTTGGCGAAATTCCATAAAGACAACCCTGAAATGTTCCTCCCTCCTAGCACTGATGCTGATGGAGAGGTTTCTTTTAGTAACAATAATGATACTGGAAAACATCCTTCCCCTAGCACTGAAATATATTTAGATAGGGAGGAAGGATAGTTTCCTTGGTTGGAGGTATCCCACCAAAGAAACAAAAAAGTGTCATTTAGGAGTAGGAAATCTAAATAATTTTCTATGATTGGCGCCTTCTGGAATATTAGAGGCCTCAATGGCTCTGCTAAGAATTCTAGAGTGCAAGAGCTTATAAAAGCTTGTAGCCCTGACTTTATTTGTTTATCTGAGACTAAAAAGCCAACTTCACCATCCCACAACTAGATGCCATAGATTCTAGGAGTGGTTTTGTGTGAAACTGGCTACCTGCTGCTGGCACTGCAGGTGGTATCCTAGTAGGTGTTAAAGAGGATTGCTTTGACATTTTACAATGTGATATAGGCACCTTTTGCATCTCTTGTATTTTGAAGTTTAAACATAATAATACTAGATGGAGATTGATATCTGTATATGGTTCTGCTTATGATGAGTTCAAACTAGACTTTCTTAATGAACCCAATAGTGTTCTTGCTGGTTGGTCAGGCGCTACTCTTGTGGGGGGTGACTTTAATCTGGTTAGGTATACTAGTGAGAAGAATACTGGTAATATTAATCAACATTGGGCCGATCTGTTTAATGATTGGATCAACAAGTTTGGGCTCATTGAGATCAAAAATGCTGGGAGGAGATATACTTGGGCTAATAATCAAGACAACTTGATTATGGCAACTTTAGATAGAGTTTTTGTTTCTGTAGATTGGGATGGGATTTTCCCTGGGGCCTCTATCAAAGCCCTACCCAGAGTGGGGAGTGATCACACTCCTCTAGTATTAAATACTACTTCTTGGCTCCCGAACCCTACTTCTAAATTCTTCAGATTTGAAAAATGGTGGCTTAATATTCCTGGTTATGATGATGTTATTCATAAAGCTTGGAACACTGAGTGCAAAGCCACCAGGGCCATTGATATCTGGCAATTTAAAATCAGGGCTACTAGGAAAGCTGCTAAGGGTTGGTGTGCTAATTATGAAGCAGATCAGAACAGAAATAAGCAGGCACTAGTGGCTGAATATAATTGCTTAGATATCCTAGTTGAAACTCAACCATTATCTGCTAACTCTAAGAATAAAATGAAAAATATTGCAGGTGAGCTGAATGAAATCTGGAGAAGGGAGGAGATCAAGGCTAGGCAGAGGTCCAGAGAGAAAGAGATTTTGGAGGGTGAATATAACACTGGGTATTTCAAAGCAGTGGCAAATTAGAAGAGGAGGAAGAAACAAATTGCTATGCTGGAAACCCCTTCAGGTCCTGTGGAGGATACCCAAGGTATTCTTCAAATAGCTGTAGATTATTATAAAAAATTATTTGGTTATGTTCCTACCATTGACATTGATCTCAAGGATGACTTCTGGGATCATGATAGCATGCTCTCTCTTGAGCACTTTAATTTACTTGAAAAACCTTTCTTTGAGGAGGAAATTAAGGCTGCTGTATTTGGCTCATATGCCGAAGGAGCACCTGGACCGGATGGTTTTCCTTTCCTGTTTCATCCAAAGTACCGGGATTTAATAAAAAATGATCTATTTGCTCTGTTTAGAGACTGGGAGGCTGGAGAGCTTGATTTGTACAGCCTTAATTTCTCCCTACTTACTTTAGTGCCTAAAGAACCTAACGTTGTTAAGCTGGATAGGTTCAGGCCTTTAGCCATGATTAATTGCAGTTTTAATTTTTTTTGCCAAGTGTGTCACCAATAGGTTTGGCCCTATTTGTAATTTTCTAATTTCTCCCAACCAGACCGCTTTCCTAAAAGGAAGATTTATCCTTCAAAGCATAGTGGCTGCTCATGAGGTAGTCCATGAAGTTGCCACTAACAAAATGTCTGGTTTCTGCTTCAAACTTGACTATGAAAAAGCCTATGACATGATCAGTAGAGAATTCCTCCTGAAAATGCTTAGGAAGAGAGGATTTGGTCCTATATGGATGTATAAAATCGAATCCTTACTCTGCAAAGGGTCTGTTGGTGTCAGAATTAATGACACCAACAGTGAGTATTTTATAGCTGGCAAAGGGGCAAGACAGGGGGACCCTATCTCCCCGCTGCTGTTTAATTTAGTTGCTGACGTTTTCACTTGAATTTTGTTCACAGATGTTAATGAAAACTTAATTGCTGGTGTTTCCCCCCCCCCCTCAAATCCTATTGGGGTCATTAGCATGCAATATGCTGATGACACCCTGCTCTTCCTAGACAAAAACTTAGAACATGCCAAAAACCTTAAATGGATTTTATCTTGTTTTGAGCAGATCTTTGGTATGAGGATTAATTTTCACAAGTGTGACCTTGTCCCCATCAATAGTGATAGGGAGGAGGCCTTAGTTTTTGCTCAAACCCTGCTTTGTAAAATTAGTACTTTCCCTATTAAGTACTTGGGTGCCCCTTTACATTTTAGCAAAATTAGAAAAGAGGATCTGCATCCTACTATTGATAAGATCATTAAGAAAAGCTGCTGGGTGGAGAGGGAGACCGCTCTCCTTTGGCAAGAGACTTATTTTAGTCCAAGCCTGCTTAGCTAGCATCCATACTTATCTTATGGGCTTTATAAAGTTCCTAAATGGGCTATTAAGCTCATTAACTCCCCATTAGCTCATTGCTTTTGGGATGATTATGAAGGTCATCACAAATATCATTTAATTGCCTGGAACTCAATAAATATGAAGAAAGAGTTTGATGGTTTTGGTATTACTGACATAGGAGATATGAACTTGGCCCTATTAGCTTCTTGGATTAGTAGATACTACAACTCCGAGGGCAAAATTTGGAATAATATCATTGACTCCAAATATAACCCTCAGAACAGTAACATTTTTGCTTGTTCTGCTATTGGAGCCTCCCCTTTCTGGAAAGGGGTGATCTGGGCAGCACAAGCTGCCAAACTTGGCTTCTCTTGGAAGGTTAGTAATGGCAAGAGGACTCGGTTCTTGGAGGACCATTGGTTTGGCAATGCTACTTTGGCTACCCAATATTGGGATCTATACAACTTAGCTAATGAACATAATGCCACTTTTGATAAAATTTGGGA